AGTACTATTTGCATCTCAATAACCCATCTACGTAACTGAAAATTATTGATGTAATTAAAATGAATAAAATATATGAACAAGAAATTAACATATGCGTACTAAATTTTTATTAGATATAACATAAGTTTGATGCAATAGTTAGTAGGAAACATCGGCTTTTTTGAGATTTCTGAAATCCTCTCAGTAAACAACTGCAACCGCAATTTTGTGAACAATATGCACCCCACAGCATAAAAGAAAAGAAACATAATTCAGACTTCTTTTTCAGAAAAATATGCAGCTACAGCAGCAGCTGAAATAAATTATTGCTATTTCCATGAATGATCTGATTTTTATCTCAATAGCAGTCCTCAGTTTGACTACCTTTGATCCTTTTCATGATGTTTCTTGCAATAAAGTGAAGACTCGTTGTTTATACTTGCACTGCCAGTTGAGTAAAAATGATTAAAAGAGAGAAAATTAGCCCAATAATAATTAAAAGAATAATCAAAGTACCTGATAATTCTGCAAACTGTATTAATAACACAGTAAACAAGTGCAGGCGATCATTACTTCTTAATCATCCATCCAAATATAATCTCGTCCTCACTGCAGGCTTGGCGACATTATGTATGGCTACGTACTTGGCACAGGAAATCATTGACACACTGGCTTTCACTGCAATTCATCACTGTGACATGATAAATTAAAAACTTGCTTTCACTTGCACTGCAATCTAAGTGTAAATAATGGAAATAAATAAAATTAACTTTTGACATGTACTGGAAAGAATTCAGAAATCACCTATGAATCATGTACATTTGATGAGTGACACTTTGAATAAGTGAAATCATCCATCACTTTTCGACTTTGCAAATAATATGCATCATACATCATAAAAGTACACAAACACAGTAAAATTTTGCCAGCTGTTGCCAACACGTATAGCGTACACTTCGATTTATACCACTTCTCCAGGAAAATATGCAGCTACAGCAGGAACCGAAACAAATCGTGTCAGGAAGCTGGAGCAGCTATCTCGATCTCGGATTACCATCCTGACATGGCTTTTGTTTGCAAACACACAATACGTATATTTTTGACAGGAGCTTGGTGACAATCCGGCATCCGGGCGTCGTGATGCATTGGAGTACATATATTTATGTGTTTAGAAGTGGCTCATAATAAAGAATTTGAGAACCACTGTCTCAGCAGACGACGCTCGGCCACGGTCGCGCAGCCGCGGCCGAAAAGACGTCCCCCTACCACTCTCTCGAGGCAGCAGAGTGGTGGGGGGACCCTTTGACGCCATCTTGAAACCAACACTGGTCCTGGTTCTGCCTTGTGTACGCAGAACGAAGTGCGCAGCTATATATAGTTATATTATATGTCGAGGAGTCAAGGAGCAGCAGCAGCAGCAGCAATAGACGTTATATTATACACGTATACGACTAACGGAGGTATAACCCTTACAGCTTATGCAACATAGAAAATCATTGGATGTATTTAAGTAACATGAGTAAAACAAAAATTTATTAACAAATTCTTTGAATTTTGTTTGTGTAAAACGCATCTTAATAATACACGGTGTATCATAATATTATAGAAGTAAACTATTTCATTTCTTAAACGTTATTTTTTTCATATTTATGTATTGAATAGGCAAATGACGTAGTATGACGATTATGCTTCAGCGAAATATGTGATATATCGAATGCCCTGATCAGGCACTATTGCTTTGACAGCACGATATCATCTATATTTTCTGCTGTAGTTATTTTTTCCTTGTGTTTCCATGAATAAATAAAAAACATCATCGTGAATTGACTTCTTAATGAAATGATCGACTGTCACAGAAGCGCGGCCGCTGCATACAGTGCAGAGGTGGAGGTTGAAATAAGCTTAGGTAAAAGATAGCTCCAAAAATTAAAAATGAGAAAAACATTTAAACTTACAGTGCGAGTGAATGTACAGCTCCTCAGTAGCTCAAGTGGTAGAGCAACTGTCTAGTAAATAAGAGGATGTGTGTTCAATCCGCACCTGGGGAAGGATATTTTTCTCAATATTATTTATTTCTTAAGAAAATTTCCTTCAAAAAGAAACTTTGTGGTTTAATATTATGAGTCTTAAGTATATTGGATATTGGAAAAAGGCATGTATGGAGGATATATAGTGCTTATATTGCAAGTGCCACCATCCATCCATGTGCACCCTTTGATACAATGGGTATTTTCCGCAATCGTCACCAGCAAGTAATTGAAGGTTGCGCTCTGCGTTACCGTCAGGTCAGTAAGTCAACTATACCTTGAATTAAACTGACGCTCTGTTCCATAATCTGGCTATTTAAAACAGCAGACGACGTGAAAGTCGAGAAAAAAGTGAAGATTTCATCGCTGTTGACTGTCGTCTGCTGTTTTTACAGTCCAGATTACGGAACAGAGCGTCAGTTTAATTCAAGGTAGTTGACTTACTGACCTGACGGTAACGTAGAGCGCAACCTTTAATTACTTGCTGGTGGCGATTTCGGAAAACACCCACTGATTTAGATGCATCAACATTCGCGTGTATACTGTTGGTCGTATGAATTTCTAATTTATCTTATTTACCGACAAGCGTTTGAGTCACATAACTGCTAATATAATTTTGAGTAAAAAAATATCTTGTATGAAACAATATTGTGTACGAAGGTGGTGAAATAATCGTGGGAAGAAGTATATCTACGCTGATCGCTGCCAGTATGATTTTAAGTAATATTTAATAAGTGAACGATTATAAACAATTTATTACGGCACAATACAATGAAAATAATATATTGGCTGGCCAGTGCAAATCTGTGCGCTTTTATCGAATGTTTCGGTGATTTCAGAACAATTTCCTACTGTCTACGCTGATGATAACATCTGTAACATAATCACATTTATCGAATACGATTTCACACTTATTCCTAGTCAATATTTCATGCGTAAAATATAATTGTATACAGAAAATTAAGCAAAATCATCCTGTTGTATAGCTTTCTTTAACAGGGTCGTATTACATGCAAGTGAATGTCTTTTCAGGATGTTTATCACACAGATTTTTTTGATAGATATTATTCAAAGGTCAAACGTATATTAAAATAGTATCAAAAATACCCACAGAATTTGCAGCTCATTTGACTCTACCATTAGTTCATGTATGTTACATTTTAAACAATCGATATTTAACATGAAATCTAATAAAAAAATTTCGTGAATGGGATTAATATGATTTGTACAAATCTCCTAATTTTTTGGATGCAAAAGATTACTTTCATATAAACCTATCAAATTTTCAAATAGACCCACAAGTTGGTTTTTAAATAAATTTAGAAGGAGAGGATCCAGTTTGCGCAAGAGCATGTATCTGAGTACATCCACATGAGAAAAAAAAATTGCTAGCTTTGCTCCACACATAAGCATTTCTGTCACTTCTCTGAACTTTTCTCCCATTACCCTAACTATGTGAAGAACGTCCTTAAGTCAAAAAGTCACTTTAATCACGAATGACAAAATTTTTAAGAAATTGAAAATACTAAAATAGTACATTACGTACCAAGGGACTAAAGCAAGCCAGTTCGTGGTTGTTGTAGTGTGCGCCCGAGCGTAGCGAGGGCGCTACAAGCAATAGCCACTCGCTGGCTTGCTTTAGTCTCGCGGTGCGTATACACTTTTATATCACACTCAGTGAAAAGTTCGTTACATTGAGAGGGAAAGAGATAGAAGGAAAACAAGCCATTCATTGTGTGGTTATAGGTTATATCACAAGAGTTTTTATAATTGTTTCCGATTGTGATATTTAGGATATTCCTGTATTTTTGTATAAAATATGGCAACAGTTTCGACAGTCATGTTTGAAGAGGATTCTTCTGACGAAGAAAACTTTAACGAGGATAAAGTAGGGGAAGGAAGAGACTTTGACTGTGAACGAAATGCCATTGTTCAAAATTTACTTCCCATAAAATCGAGAGCATTATATGAATATGCATACGCTCGATTCTTACAATGGAAGCATAAAAACAAGGACCTAATTATTTAACTCTTTTAATGAATGTGTTTCGAAATGTAATAA